ATGAGGGTGGTGAAACACTGGAACGGGTTGCCCAGAGAGGTAGTGGAGGCCCCATCCCTGGAAACATTCAAGACCAGGTTGGACAGGGCTCTGAGCAACCTGATCTAGTTAGCGGTGTCCCTGCTCGCTGCGGGGGGGTTGGACTAGATGACCTCTAGGGGTCCCTTCCGACCCAAAACTTTCTATGATTCTACGATTCTTTCAAAGATGCATAGGCCATGCTGTCCGAACAATGCCCTTGTTCACCACAGCAGAACTTTCATTGCCAAACCCATGGGCACACATCCTTAGTTCAAAGGAACTTTCCTTCGACGTGATAAAAATTAGCACTACAATACTTTTAATTATAAATGCTGAATGAATACTGACACATATTTGACTAAATTTGATTCAAAGTTTACATCTGTTCCAATGATATATCCTTTGGTATACGCTGTACTAAAAATATCATTTACTTATAATCTCTCTGATACCCCTTGTTTCCTAGCCCTCTTACTCATCCTTACTCAGAGATCTTTGAGAATTTATTTATCTCTATGACTAGTATGTGTGCTCCAGCAGGGCTGTATATTGTAATGATGGTGATAACGGTATCGTTTTCAAATGCTGACATTTAAAGTAGCCCACATAAATGTAATAAAACTAGATCTGATAGAATCTCTTCCTAGTGTTTACCTGGTTTCATCAGATGCTGGGCCTAGAGCAGTACCAGACTTAACCTGAGCCTCTTCCACAGCTACTCTTGCCTGATATGCAGCTGGGTAAATAATTCAACACCTTTCCCAAGTAAATTGGCTAAATTAAATTAATATTAAAAAATCTGGTATTATTTACCCCAAGCTTTTCTCAGCTTTGCACACTGAGTACCTTACCAGTGTAAATACACAACTCTTTCACAGTATTATTAAGAGCATCATGAAAAGCAGTCTTCGTGTAGATAAATCAGAGGGTTAATATCAAACCCACTATTCGAAGAGTTATGCTTAGCCACAAAGCACCATGATGTATCTTTTGTGAACAATAAAAACAAAGTATTACCATGCATTTCTCATGAATAAGTAAAATGTGGAACATTCACTGGCTGAAGCTACAGAAGATAACTGAGTTTTATTTTAAGAACAACTCTTAATAACAAGGATGTGAGAGATGTTAAGCCTTGGAAATTTTTTTCCGCATTTAGTGTAACAAGTCTGAAAAATCTCACTTACCCTATACAGATCCATAATTTGTGCAGCTGTGTACTCCTGGGATTGATTCAAGGGCTTGAATTTAATTTCAGAAGGTGCTTTAGCTGTAAAAGTAAATGGACCAGAGATGGTGTCCAAGTCATGGGTACCTATTGCTACTAATGCTCTTCTCCTAGAAAGAAAGACGGTAAAATAATTTTACTAGTAATATTTGGAATACCTTGGAGATAATCTCTCATGATGCTCTATACACACATGCATTCATAGAACTTACTGAAAAAACAGAAGCACAATTTTGAGAAGCCTAGAAATCATTTTCTTGAATAACATTTCAATGAATGTTAACAACACACCTAACAGTCAAAGGCAAATCCAATGGGACTGTTGCAAAATGCTTCCTTTTCACAGAATCATAGAATTCTTTGGGTTGGAAGGGACCTTCAGAGGTCATCTAGCCCAAGCCCCTGCAGTGAGCAGGGACATCTTCAACTAGACCAGGTTTCTCAGAGCCCTGTCCAACTTGACCTTGAATGTGTCCAGGGATGGGGCATCGACCACCTCTCTGGACAACCTGTTCCAGGGTTTCACCACCCAAACTCAACCGCTGTAGGACTCAAACTCACCCAAACTCTCAACTGTTGTAGGAGCTGTAACAGCTATTTATGTTGAAAAATATTGAGAGCAGGCAGAAATGGGCAAGGAAATGAGAATGATGAAGAGAGCTGCTATAAAAGATTTTCCTTAGCATAATAATGCCTCTGCAATAGGGATGTGCAGTTTTAACATGTGATAAAATCATACACATAGACACTATATGCTACTTTAAATTTAAGCACTAACCTGCAAATATTTTGGTGTAGTTTTTCTTGGAGGTCAATGAAACTATCATAACGATCCTTGGTAAAAGTTATATTACGAAGGACTGCAGCTACAGCATGAGGACGGACTTTGACAGTCTGCAATTTACAACAGCAACATATTGTACATTTCAAGTACGCAGAATATACAAAACTGAAACTGATTAAATGTGCACTTTTCTTCATAAAACCCTCTTTTGTAAAGTAGTAATCAAAAGGGGAATTCATGAAAGACGTCAGAATCTCAGAGGAGAAAACAACCCAAACAAACCCACTCCAGGTCTGCTAGAGACAAGGCGGTTTCCAATATACCGTGTAATGGCCCAGAACGTCAGTGCGATGTGAGCATCTGAAACTTTGACCTGCTACTAGCTTCACCCAAAACAATTTATTGTTCCTCCCCCTTCTCTAAAAATAAATCACAATGAATAGAAATATTTAAATTTCTTTAGCTCTTGTTCTGCAGACAAGATTTCTAATCTCACTGCACTTATAAAATTGGTACTGATAACTATCTTGCTGGTTTGGAAACTCTCAATAAATTTACAAAGGTGCAGTAAACCCTTTTACCTCTCCAGTGATAATCAGCCTCTGACCTTCACCCTGAGCTGGTATTATCTTTTCATACCTAGGGAGATTTATCCTAGAATAAAACAGAAATAAGTCTGTAACTGAAAGAAAGAAAGTTCTCCAAGTGCAGGTAACTTTAGATATGTAGTAACAATTATAAGTAGAAAGCTTTCTTAGCAATGTTTCTTGGCATGTAAATTAGCTAGCTGTTTAAAATTTGTTTTCTATGGGATGATAAACAGCCTACCGAACTAGAAAGGAAGGACTCATGAGATAAAGTCACAGCAGAACAGTGAAATAAGATTTGTTTGAGCAAGATTTGTTTTGGTATTTATTACAGAGTATCACAAGCCAGTTCCTCTGCAGGAGTTCTTTACAGAGGATAGTCTCAAATGGAACAGCAGTTGAAGAATTTTTAGAACAGATCCAAAATCCAGTAACATTCTAGTCTGGTCTTTTAAAAATATGTAATAGATCCTCTCCAGAGGCACATCTGATAAATCTGATCTACACATGAGATTGTACTCAAAATCCAAGCAAGTGGCAAGTTTGTTTACTGACCAGAAATGGACTTGTATTTAAACAAATAACAAACCACACAAAAATCTCACAACTCTGCATTACCTTTCTTTAAAGACCTGCAGTCCTCGGACCAACCCTTCAAGGCAAAGAAGATCATAACGGTTGGCAGGAACATCAATTTTATAGAGAACAGTATCAGATGCACCCTTTGCCTTTTCTTCACCTTTTTCTTTGCTTATAATGTCTTTCTCAGATGTCTGAAATTAAGCAAAAATGTATTTTTAACCCAAAATATCTTAACATTGACAGGAGTATGATAGTGAGATAACATAATAGGAAAAACTGTATTAATTAAAAATTTAAGGATGTAATTTGGATTTATACAGAAAATGGACACACCAAATACCAGAAATGACATAAAATCTAAATCATTCTCAGATTCAGAGACTGTAATGCAGTATATCAAAAGAAAAATTCACTATTACAATTTGAATTTAAAAAAAAAAAAGAGATTATAGAAGCAAGAGTCTCCAGGCTAGCATATCACAGTAGAGAACTGAGACCTTATTTTTGGCAACAGACTGGCAAATCACTTGTCATATCAAGTCCGTTCTGAAATAAAGCATAACAGATGATGTTCAGATGTCTTCTGATAAGCATCATCAGAGATCAATTAATTCAAGTTAAAAAGCAAAACCAAAACAGCTCCACTTGAACAAGATTTACATGGCTTCAGTTAACAGGGCTGGAACATTTTCACAAATACAGAATCTAAATAAAAACTTTAAATATGAACTAGTTACAACTCAGGTAACAATGTGCAAGACAAACACATTTTTGTGGATGCTGCACAGAAGAATGCATACAAAACAAAGTCAAACAGATTTTTTAAAGTATGTTCAGTGGTCTGTGGCCATATTTATGATGCTAAATAGAATAAGGCCAGAGACTGAAGACCAAGTGGCATGGACTGCCCACCTCCACAAAGTGTAGCAATATGCCATCTTGGGGTCTCTTGCTTCCAAGATGGTAATTTTTGTACGTCTGTTTTCCTTTTCAGATTCAAAACACCTCTTAATATAGTCTATTACAACAGTATTTTATAACAAGAACCTAAAGGTATGGGTTACATATTCTGGAGGATGGTGCAGGACAAAAAGCCTGCTGCAATAGTGCTAAAAGATTGTACAGGTCAAGGGGACCTTCAAGTCTTGTCCACAGTGAGCGCTTTCGACAATACCCGGGGCGTGACAGCCTCCAAACTCTGCCTAGACATTTTCTTGGCACATGTTAGAGGGCATCAGCCAATGCTGCACCAGGGAATATGCTGGAAGTAATGCAGTGCGAACTCTTACCAAATACAAATGCTGTCAGAACACTACATCTACTGAAAAAGTAACAAATAAAAACATTACTTACAATTTCATCAAGCTCCAAACCAAACTCAAAGCAAAGCTCATTAAATTCTTCATCAGCTGTGAAGAAAGAAGGTGAATTTTGGTTAATAAGCAGACCTCTGACTTTTAAAGTAATTTTTCTGTGGGTTTTTTGACTGTTTTCAAACAAGACAACACATGCTATTTTGAAAAAAAGGGTTAAAGTAGTTCAAAGAACTTTGCATCTGAGTAGCAGTTTCTTTAGCATACATTGCATTTATTAACACGTTATTCTTACAGCCACAGCAAGCGCTTCAGAGCCTCAGAGCCCAGCTTCACTACCAGCTCCTCAGCAAAGTTTGTCAGTGTAACTCTGGCCTGAACAGATAATGAAAACGGGAGGGAGGAACTGGACAGCTTCTGCCAACAGCTACAGCCTTACCAGTCAGCTTGTCATACGGAGGTTGCATCACCTGCGTTATTACATGTGAGTAACGCACCCCGATCTGAAAATGGAGATTTGCACCCATGTGTCTTAAGAGCCTGCCAACTCCAGTGTGGGCTAGATACGGATAAACCGCTGCGTGTCCCTAAACGCTCTCTCAGCCAAACAGCTCTTAAGTCACATTTCCACAGACCCAGGGAGGAAGGGCTGAATGAAAACACGGCATTGTTTGCTTTGCCGGCCCCCACCTCTTCCCTCTCCTTTTTGATTTAACCAGTTCCTAGACCAGACAGCGAAACTCGAAACAGAAACTGCCATTTGGAAATGCACGGTGTGGACTCGAACAGCCAAGGGCTGCAGGGCCCAGGGAGCACCCACGGCTCGGTCCGGGCA